CTGGCTGCCCGGTTGCCCTGTTTCTTCTCAAACACGGCTAAGAGAACTCTGTCGGCAGCGAAGAACACAGGGCCCTCTGAACGTTTTCCCGTGCATTTGCATGTCCTACAGTAGGTCATCAGATACTTGACTCTCCTTTCCTTTATAAATTGTTTTTATTGCTCAGGAAGTGTTTTTTGTGGCTGCAGCTGATGGCTTGTGGATGGAACAAGGAGGGAGTGTGCTTCTAAAATAACTGCTACACCACAGGTTTCTGAAAACAGTATGCAAAATTAAATATAATAGATTTATACACCAAAATAATTATTATGTGTAGATCAGGAATATAACATTTATGCTTACCTCCTTGCTTTCTGGAGTCTTACTGGATAGCCACGCTGCTGTTTTCCATGATAATAAAGGAAAGATGTTTGTGAAGAAAGTGAAGGAATAAGTAAGTTTCAGTGCAGCATAATTATTCAGATTTATGATTCAGAAATTTAGACCGACTCAAACGTCTGTCCCCTCTCTGTCACGTTGTATTCAGAGATCCATGTCATATTAAACCTGACTATGCAGTAAAATTCTCAAATGCAGAAGGACAACAGAAATATGAATCTACTCTATGGCTGATCTAGGAACCAGGATGGCCCATCAGAGCACCTGCTGACACGCTTCTTCCATTACAGGGCAATCCTGTACTATGAATAAACACTGAAATCACTCTAACTCTCCAAGCTGAAATAGTTCGAGGCCTGGTTTGCCCTTTGATTTTTCTTTAATCCAGGAAGTATTTTAAACCTCCTAAAAGTAGAGGCCCCTTACTTATTCACTGGGTATAACAGAGCAGTATTTGGGTTGTTTTGGAGACCTGTACTGATATTCACAGCCTTATATACAGTTAAAGATGTTTAAATAAATGTGAATTAGGCTGGATCATAACGTCAGAAAAGAGTAAACGTAATCCAGAAGTACCTATACAATAAGCATATTCTGGGACAGGGTTAGGTGGAGTTTATTTTTCTAGATAATTCATCATCCCTGTTCATGAGAAAATTTTGAAATCATATAATCTAGTTCATTTATCTGAAAACTATTAATGTCATGATGCTAATACTGTTGTTACAGAAAAATAGGGAACTAGAAAAGGAGTCTTTAAACATATTTGTTCTATCCAGTTTTAATGGGTTTCAAAATAGTACAGACATAGCATAAAATTAATATTTTATATGCAGTTAGTTTATCTTATGTTTAGAATAGTCCAGGTTTATGTGGGAGTACTCATGATAGTAAATATTTTGTTCTAGTTACTTATATTGTGCAGTTTTGTCTATAGCTACTTTCATAATTTTTATATTTTCACACAAGTTCAATTTCATATCTCAGCTTTTCTGATGCTCTGGAAGAGTTTGCATGCTTGCTCTTCCACATTTGATTTTGGCAAGCAGTTGTTCCTGGAATAATCTTTTTTAATATTAGATTGCAGGTTGATATATCCTCCTGCCTAAGTACTTTACAGAAGCCAACGTTCCAGTTACTTGCTTCACCGTAGGCAGGATCTGCTCAAAAAGTTTTATTTGTCTTTCAAAAATAATGCAAGTTGTCTCGTGTTTTGTTGGTGCCTATAAATGGGAGTTGTAAAGAAAATACGAATATTATTCAGCAGCTGGAAAATGAAATAAATATTCCATTGAGTAGGCAGTTTGTGTGTTCGGTCTCATCTTAACATTTTCCTGATATAGCATTCCTGACATATTCAGTATGTGGCAAAACCAAGCAGCTGATTCCTCCAAACACATAACTCTCAGTTAAGAATTGGTATATAGGGTCATACCAAAATTATTCAACTCAGTATTAAGCAGCCAGTAAGCAATTCCTGAGAAAGGATTGCAAAATTGGGTGCGACAATGGGTGTTCGTGCTCCTGGGAGGGGAGTCGTTTGTTTTCCGATATTTGTAGAGATAGCCAGGGGTATTATTTGGAAACTCCTATTTTGAGTTTTTCTGACTCTAAAAATCTCAAAAATTCATGTTTCGACTTTGAGAGCATGCTCTGGCAAGAAATTCCGTCACATTTGGTGTTGAAAATAGGCATCTTTCAAGTTGTAATTTTTTGAACTTACCAGTGATCTCTCTGTATGCCTCTGAGATGTGCTAAATAATGAACGTTCATTCTCTACTGACATACCATACATTATATTTTTCTTCCATGCTGGAGAGTCCCACTGTGTGGAATTACCTCTGTAATTCAGCTGTCATTGAAGAAGGAGCTCCTGGCTCCTTGAAGTTCTTTGTTTTGTGGTAGTAGCTATACCAGAGAATGCCAATTCTACAGATTGTATGATTTCTAGAAAACAGTTCAGTAAAATACGACATATATGTAGTATTTAGTTTAGTATTCGTAAGTTAGCATCGCAGGCTATGTAGGCATTCTTTTTATCCTCTCACCGTGTTGTAGTATGCTGGAAGGCCCCACAGAGGGCAGCTGATACTTTTGGAATGGAGATTTAACACTGGGTTTGTTTTCCTTCACTGCTGTTAGGTTGGTCGTCTAGAAAATGCAATTGGCTGGTATCACAGTCACCCTGGCTACGGCTGCTGGCTTTCTGGGATTGACGTCAGTACCCAGATGCTTAATCAGCAGTTTCAAGAACCCTTTGTAGCAGTGGTTGTAAGTACTGGCTGATAGTTGATAAAACTGCATAGCAAATTATGTTGAGGGAGGAATAATTTTTAGATTTCTGTCTGTTAACATTCTAGTAGTGTGTATTTTGCGTGATGGAAGTGTTGGATCCACTTTAAACTGACATCGCTCCTTTTGCTTTGTTGGCCACATACTGGTCAAACCAGCAGCATTGGCTATGAGGCCATTTTCACTGCATTGTTGCAGGTATGATAGCTTCGTATAAATCCATACATTACTCTTAACTTAAAGTTCTACTTGATACTTTTGCAAAAAAATGTATTGAGCAATCCATATTTGACCTACTGCAATAAAAGAAAAATGTGTTTCTTTTGTTCTCTTTCTTGCTGCTTCTGTCGAAATACAGCAAAGCATGTTCGCCGAGTTTTGTTACTTGGCATTTGAAATGCCTTTTAAATTAAATCAGTGGCACAGTACAAGGTAGAAGATACCTGGAAAGCTAGCTTTGAAGGAAAAATCTGAAGAAACTCTTGGGGCCCTTCAAGGTCTTCCAGGCTTCAGATCACATTTGAAATCAAAAGTAATTCTTATTTTAGATACTTAGTTTTATAACCATTGCTGCTGAAGGAAATAAAGGAAAAAAGACTGAAATTAGTCAAAAATAAGGAATATAAATCTGATGGAAGAGTTACATTAGAAAAAGATAAATCACCCTTAAGAAGTATTTCTGCCATGTGAGTTGTCCTGTGTTATGACATAATTTCATAGATTTGGAACACTTTCCTTGGGACTGCTTTTTTCTTTTTTTTTTTTCTTCTTTAAACTACTTTTAAAATTAAACACAGCATTAGTAAATTGAGACTCCTTCTCTGGAGATGTTCAAAACCCGCCTGGACGCATTCTTGTGTGATCTGAGCTAGGTGGTCCTGCTCCGGCAGGGGGATTAGACTAGATGATCCTTTGAGGTCTCTTCTAATCCCTAACGTTCTGTGATTCTGTAAATGTGTTAGCAAGGAGATTCCTTCATTAGTTTCCTGTGTTTTCCACCAAAATATAGTGGATCACAGTACTGTTTCTTACCTCTAGTGGTTAGAAGATTAAAGTGCAAATTTTATTATGGTTTATTGATTGCTTATGGTCAATAGAATGCTGTTGATGTTCCCATCTTTTTAGACAATCTCATACCAACAGATGCCAACTGAAAAAGTACTGGTTTTGACAAAACTAATACAATTTGCAGTAATTATATTTCTGAAATACAATTACTGTAAAGTTAATTGATGACTGTAATAATTTGTAAAATGCATATAACTTTAATGCATTACCTGTATTTCTGCAGATTGATCCAACAAGAACAATATCTGCAGGAAAAGTAAATCTTGGAGCATTTAGGACATATCCTAAGGTAAATAGTTAAAATTATCTAGGGTGTGATCACTAAGCTGTCTTTAAATGAGTAATAGATTGGTTCTAAAGATTACTGCATTTCGATCATCTGACAGTTCGATCTGCTGTGCTGTACTATATGTCATTGTTCATTTAAAAAAAAAAAAAAGATGTGCTGATATACTAGTTATTGTGTGTGGTTGGATATTGATTACATTTACACAGGTTGACTTGTAGTTTGTTTTTCATAGATTTTCAGCAATGTTAAATCAAATAGACTGTGAAGGTAGTGGACCTGTCCTGAAATCGTAAATCTCAATGTAGCCATTTTTTAATGGATATAGTTGTAGATAACATTCATCAAAATAGATTTATGTTAATTCTTCTCTATCATTTTTTAGACCTGAAACCAAATGTTTAATAGAGTGCTTTGTATGTTGTAATCTGCTTTTCATTTTAGAAAAGCAAAATTTGAAACTATCTACTTAACTCTTTCAAATAAATATTATGAATCTTCACAAAATGATGTACAAAAAAGAAACGAGTTAATTGAACAATGTGGAAGGGTTAGACTGAAAAGTAGGAAATCACATAAATATTGGAGATCTAGATCTCCAAATGCATTCTTTTGTGTCTACTTCTGGCAGAGGTATAACTGTGCTATTTAATTTCAATCTAATAAAGTTCAGGTATATCCTTCAAATTTCTAGTTATTATTGACTCATCAAGAACTTCAGGCTGACATCCAGGAAAACTGTAATTAACAAAAATGTTTGTGAGAGGTTCCTAGTTGCACCGAAGCGTTGTTTTTGTGTTGATGAATATACAAGAGATCTTCTTAGAACAGTTTGTGATTCAGGAGAATATTCACGTCTGAAGGCAAAACCACTTCATAAATACTTTCAGGAGTTTGAGCAGGGAGAAGAATCCTGCACTTGAAAACCAAATCCTATATGAGAGTCCTCACAGTGGTCTGCCGGCAGTCCTTGCCTATTCAGTAGCTGTGAGTGGCAAGATCTTGGCTAAATAAGTAACTGAAGTCTTGACTATCCCTAAGGCACATCCAAGGCGTGGATGTTTCTTCCCTCTTCTCGTGCCTCCTGTCTTCCCTCAAAAGAGGATTGAAATCACTTACGAGTATAGGTAGAGAAATATTGTCTTAGAAGAAGCTCGCTCTTTCTTTGATCTAAGAAATGATCTAATCATAGCTTGCCATCGTGTTTGAAAAATCACAACTATGACCACTAGTTCGCTTCCAACAGGCTTTTTGATAGACCTACAAATGTAATGGCTGCTAGTAAAGCCAAATGTAAATCTGAGATCCAAGAAAATTCCAGCTTTCAGACTACTGAGGGAAATTTCTTTTTCCTTAGGAAAAATAAACTAGAATTGCATAAACTAGAATTTTTGTGAAGTGCTTTCAAAGAGTTTAGGCATTTAAATAAGTCTTGAAATTACTGTGTCATCTTTACCCTTTGTTGAATTTTTAGGGCTATAAACCTCCAGATGAAGGTCCCTCTGAATACCAGACTATTCCACTTAATAAAATAGAAGACTTTGGTGTACATTGTAAACAGTAAGTAACATCAAAACTACTAACTCTAACACAGATTGTCAATTTTTGTGTTTAGGTTAGTGATTCAGTACAGAAAAGTACGTTTCTTGTAGTGTTTCAAATCTTGAAGTTCTTTGTTACTTTAGCGCCATTGGTTTCGTGGAAAAGTGTTATTGTCATTTATCAGGAGATATTTTAAGGGAGGACTGTTACAAAGAAGAAGAACCTGGTTAAAAGCATTAGCAGTTGATTCCTGAACATTTTTAAGTCGTGGTGCTTTCTTAGGGGAGGGAGGAAAAGGTCAGATGTAGATTCAGCAGCAGGGAGACTGTAATCTGTCTGCTTTCCTGAGCAGTGGAAAGTGCTGTGCGTCTTTTATCCTGCGTCACGGGGCATGTTAAGATTGTTTCTGCCTTTGGTAGGGTTGGAAAGTGGAGCTGCTTCAAGGATAACACCAGCAATAGGAAGAATTACAGCTTTTTCTCTCCTGCTAGTTCACTTTCCATGAATTAAAAGGCAGTTTAGTTTAACTATTCTTTCTTTAACTATTTTATCCCCAACTACATGTTACTCACTTCATACCCACGTTTACGTATTCGACAAGGCATTCGTTTTGCCAGGTCAGTCCCCTGATCTGGTCCAACTTGTGGCAGCACACATGTTCTAGCTGGCTAAGCTGACATGGGGTGGAAAGTAAAGACATGTTGGAGATGCAGTATTTGCAAAGAAGAGCTAAGGAAAGATGGGACTGTTTCTTTCGGTAACAGCTGGCTTCACTTCTGCCTTCAGATGTGTGACAAGCACTACAGCTTAAGCATCTCTGTACAGAGGACTTGATGCTCTTTTTGACACCAGTGTGTCCTATAGGCTGTCACGTATTTTTTTCATGGTTTTGGGGCATGGGTATCTGTTCTTCAGTGCATTTATAGTTGCATGCAAAGTCTGACCCTGAAGAGATGAAGAAATGAACACAATTGGGAATTGGTCTTCCTATCCAATTTGAGGGAAAATCCAGAACAGTAATGACACAAAAATCTTTGTAGAACTGTAATGTTCCTGTAATTTCAGAGTAGTCTTTACAATTCTGGCTTTGGCCATAAACCAGTGCTTTTAAGCATGAAAGGAGGATATGTTTTATCCTTTCTTTTTTAGGTGTCAATTAGGGAGAGTTCATTTGGTGGTTTTTTGAAGTTGGCTTCTCCTCTTCCTCAGGAAGTTGGCTTCTTGTACAAGCCATTTCTTTCCATCCAAACCAAGAAAGTATTTTCCAGTCTTTCCTAGAAGGAAACAGCAACTAGGCAAAGAGAGGGAATTAAAACTGAAAATTTGTCACATTACTATATTACTGATAATACGAAAGACTAGAGTGGTGTTGTCCTCTCAGTAGTATGGGTAGTCTGACTAAGAATTAAGTTTAGAGAAATTGAATAATGATCATGGAATCCTTTAGGTTGGAAAAGGCCCTTAAGATCATGAAGTCCAACCATAACCCTAACACTGCCAACTCCACCACTAAAACAGGTCCTTAAGCACCACATCTATAAGTCTTTTAAATACCTCCAGGGATGGTGACTCAACCACTTCCCAGGGCAGCCAATGCTTGACACCCCTTTTGGTGAAGAAATTCTTCCTAATACCCAATCTAAACCTCCCCTGGCCCAGCTTCAGGCCCTTTCCTCTTGTACTATCACTTGTTGCTTGGGAGAATAGATGGACATCTACCTTGCTAGAACCTCCTTTCAGGTAGTTGTAGAGAGCAATAAGGTCTCCCCTAAGCCTCCCTTTTTCCAGACTGAACAACCCCAGTTCCTTCAGCCTCTCCTCCTAAGACTTGTGCTTTACATCCTTAATGATCCTGTCTTTTTAGAGTGCCAGTGACTAACTGCTTTATAGTAGCTATCTGGATAATATTAGTCAAACTTCTCTCCTTTTAATTGGTGTTCATTGCCCAATGTGAAACTGCTTCCATTTAATCTTTTTACATCAGTGTGTTACACTATTTCTCATACAACTTGGATTTCTAATTTTGAATCTGCCACACATCTCTCTGAAGAACTTAGTACCTCCTTTTCTTTAGCATATGTGAAATAAGGGTATTTGTTCTATCACAGAAATATTAAAATGTGCTGTGGTGGTAGATTTTAAAGCATTGTTCTCTCAGATAGAATTTCTTACAGAAATGCAAGGTAAAATACCTTTCCAGAGAAATCAAGAGATAATAGAATTATTGATAATCTGCTCAAGAATTTTCTGATCAAAATAAAGTTTAATATAGCTCTTTAATGTTGCTGTAATTCACCTACACTAATGACTTTGCATAGCTCAGCTTTCAATCTGCTTTATCATCTCTTGTGAATTCTGTAGTACCACTAAAGCTCGGCTTTCGAAATAGGTATGGTAGAATGTAAGATTGTTTGCCTGTTAACATTTACTGCTATCAAACGTTCCTAATGGAATGAGAGGTGATATGTGCAAAACTGCTGTGATCCGTAAGTTACAATTATTACACTATTGAAGATCCCAAGCATGGAACAGGGCATCATTGCATTGCACAAGAAGTTGTTATGAGAATAATTAAAAAAACCCCATTGCAATCTCATTAAATAGAACACAGCAGTATGTGTGGGGATTATTTATACCTGTATTGAAGCTCTATATGAAATATTTACGGAAGATCTTTCTAGAGTTAGGACTGGAACTGGGGGCAACTTTTTTCTTGTTCACTGCTTTGAATTTTTGAAAATATTAGCCATTGATAAGGATTTTTTGAGATGCACATACTTTGGGTGTCACAGCCAAATAAGACATTTAGATGGAAGCTTATTTTGTTTGCATGTTTGTTTTAAAGGTATTATGCTTTAGAAGTCTCGTACTTCAAATCATCTTTGGATCGTAAATTGCTTGAGCTTTTGTGGAACAAGTACTGGGTGAACACTCTCAGCTCTTCTAGTCTGCTTACTGTAAGTACCATAGTAGGCTATCATGTTAATTCTTTAGTGCAGAAAGCCAGACCCTCTTCTCTAAAATACTTAGTGGGACACTGATAGATACAGATCCTTCAGTAAGAATCTATTTCTCAGATTAAACAAGAAAGGAACGTTCTCCTAATTATAAATACTGAAATGTTCCTTATGTCTGCTCTTAAAAGTAGAAGGTGGGAATAACTTACATTTAATTTTACTGAGTTGTCTATATGCTTAGAGTTTGTCTTAAACACCTTTTAACCTTATATCTCTTTACAGCACTGTAATGAATAATATGCCTTGAAATAATGGTATTGAATAAGTAAACACTTTAAATAAGTAAATAACAGAACACTAGTGGAACTGTTAAAACGAGGTTGCAACAGAAATACTACAGGTAGACCTTCAGTGTAACAGCTCAGCATCAAAACCTTCCTTCTACAAAAGCCAATTTTATACCTTTTGTCTCAGTCAAAACCAACTGCGGTTTGCTTACTCTTTCATAACTTTGGCCATGGGCCAAAGTAATAGAGAGTGCCCATTTCAGGCTTTGGGTACTGACTTTTGTCAGATGTTCAGCTTCCATTCTTTCAACCACCACTCATGTGCCACTCATGTTCTGTGTCACTTCAGTTGCAGATACATGTTAAAATATGCAGTACTACAGTCTTAAAGGCTCTTTTCAGATTGTGTTTATTTTGTGTATAAATGCTTGAATTTATAAGCTTAGAATTCAATGTGTTTATTGACTTCTTTCTCCTAAGAATGCCGACTACACCACTGGCCAAGTCTTTGATTTGTCCGAAAAATTAGAACAGTCAGAAGCTCAGCTTGGAAGGGGCAGTTTCATGCTGGGTTTAGAGACTCATGATAAGAAATCAGAAGACAAACTTGCAAAAGCAACAAGAGACAGGTAAGACAGCACATACTTGTGTTCTTCCCTGTAAAAAGTGTTATTTTGTTTTAAACTTTTATCATGTCTTTAATTGTAACCTACCAATTAAATTGTAACCTACTAAGATTATAGGTAAGAATGATTAGATTATAGATAGGAATGAGAGACTCTCAATATCACTAGTTATTTTTGAAAGTTGAAGAAAATCTTGCTTTCGTTATACCTACAGTGGCTTTTCAGTCTTTGTTTCTGGAATAAATTCAACTCTAGTTTATAGTTTATTAAACAAAAAATGCCTGTTAAATTCCATCAGTATACGGCAAACCAAAAAAGAGGGCAAAATGGTAGAATTGCTAGAAATTATGTGATTAATCAGGTTTAAACTAACAGTAAATAAAATTACTATATAGAATGTGATTTTAAGAAGCAGTGCTAACAGTCCAGTAAGTTTAGTTTACACTTGTGTAATACTTTGACTTACTTAAAAATTAAGAACTCGTGCTTTTTTTCATATTTCTTGATTAATACAGCTTTTTTCCACAAATGAGGAAGATTTGTTGTTGTTGTTTTGTTTTATTGGTAAGAAGTAGATATTACAGATATTCTGGCCTTTAGATTTGGCTACCCTGCCTGATAGCAAATACTTGCTATTATCAGTTAATGAACTTTTCATCACTGGGTGTACAGAATTATTTCAAAGAAGTTGTGGTGTTTTCCCTCAGTGTTGCTTATATGTTTGTTAGTAATCAGCTCTTCTCTTTTTTGAGCTTCGAAGTACAAAAGTTGCTTCTCACTAATACATCTCTTTCCCAATAGTCATGAGAATGATATGTATGCTTAGGCTATCTATGTATTGTTATAGTCACCATTTTTCCCAAGTAAAATCTGTAACAAACGGTAAGAGTATTCAACAAGTCATGCTGTATCTTGGGCTGTTCAAGAACATTGTATCCAGACTTCGAAAACCAAGAAGTACTGCACTGTACCTGCTAATACAGTCTCAGGTCCATCTGTAGAGAAGACAGGACTCCCCTGCATGCATCTTAGGAGTGTTCTGAGTGAGATACAATTCCATTTAAAAAGGAACAATCCTGTAGAATCCCTTGGAACAGACAGCAAAAAAAGTGGAATAAAATCTGGGATGTACTGCTTCTCAGATTTGGAGGTTTTCTTGTCCTCTTCCTCATCATTTTATCCTGGTACACAGATATTCATACACTGATACACGTATTCTCTCCCGCCCTGCCCCCACCATGTTAGCAGTGTGTGCCACAGTACAAACTTCACTAAGGAACTGATTTTTGAGATACAAGATGAGTGGTGAGTTTAATGAGAGGTAAAAAAATCGAGGCCAAAAGGAGGCCTTGTGTAAAGAGACTGGTTTATAAATAAATAACCTTGTTTACATATTGCTCACTATGACTCGGGTGAACACGAGCTTTGCCTTAATGAAGAGAGGAGTCAGCTTGTGTTGGACAAGCCTTTGTTTCACAGTAAGAAGCAGGGGAATACCTGCAAATGTAATGTGGTCATTGCTAAATAGAATCAGGGTTGCTGTTGTGCTGGTGCCTTCTGCGCACTTGTTCCCTTGTTACAGAAAGTTAACAGCTCTTACAAGTTTTCTAACAAGCGTGATTTGAGTTGGAGGGGGGTTGACTATGGAAGTTAATACCCGTTGAGACTATTGTAGTTGCAGAATACCTTTGCAACGGAGTCAAGGCTGTTGCTAACTCACAACAGCCAGGTTAAGGGACACCTCCCAGTTCCTGTAGTGAAACAGTTACAATAGCAATGCTTTGAAGACATGAGAAGGATGAAGTCGCTGACAAGTTTGCTTTGATTTTGATCCCTCTTTGGTGTCCCATAATATTGACCGCATTTTATTTTCACGTTACTGTCATGCGTTTAACAGTTTTTCTAAGAAACAGCTCCTCCTCTGATGATCCTACTGTATTATTTGTTGCAGTGGTTATAGAGATTTTTCCTTCCTATTTAGTCATCATCGGTAGTTAGTTGATAAATTGTAAGGCTGGGAGGGATTGTTGTTGTCATCAGTTCTGCTTTCCTGCGTAACAGAGGCTACTGTAGTTCCCAAAATGGATTGGAACACTTTTGCAGACGCATGTTTTTCTTCAACTAATAATCTTTCCTAAGAGAAGAGAAAAAACAGTAGAAGACTTGTGTAAACCGCAGGACTTTTGATTCAGTGGCACCTAAATTACTTTGAAGAAATAAGGTTGCAAAGTTTGCTAAAGGATTATTGAGTGGACCTGTTTTAGGAAAAATAATACTGTCAGACATTAGCATAAAGGTGCCTACGCTTGGCTATATGGTATCTTCTGTTATTGTACATACACACCTCTAAGAGCCATTTTCTAGGAGTACATATGCATTAGCCAAACCGTGCTCCAAGCTGGATTCCTTTGCCTAGGATTCCTTTATCTATCTAGTAGTAATTTGTCCCTATTCTCCGTGCCTTCAGGCAGGTTTGATTCATCTTTTGCACTTGTGTATTCTGTTTTGAGACTTTTTTTTTTGTTGTTAGTTTGACACTACATCCATTTTAGCCAGGTACACTGGATGAAACTTAGATCAATAGGAATCCTCTCAGCTGTTTGGGGGTTTTGCACGTTACATATTTTGACTAATAACTGATTAGCTCTATAAACTCTTCCTTTAATATTTTCTGTAACGTTTCTCTTCAGAGGAGAGCTCCTCTTCAGAGGAGCTATGGTTACTGTGCACTACTGGCCTGGGGTTGGGCAAAGGAGAGAAGTTAGAGAACAGTGAGAACCTTCAGGTATTGATAACAGCTGGTAGCTACATTCCCCCAGGAATTTTTTTTTTTTTTCTTCATATGACTGCAGAGCTCACTTGCTCTTGTTAATGTAAGATGTCCTAAATTGCCAGACAGAGAAGTTTTCTGGAATTGCTCTTTGCGTGTATAGTGCTCATCAGTTTGATTTTTAAGTAACAGAAAGCTATTGGCAACAATGGCTAAATTGCTGTTTGTGACTTTTCTTTCTGGACGGTTGTTAAGATTCATGGGGTTATGGGCACCCTGAACTTCCAAAACAGCTGAATATCTTCAAATAAAGTGACACTTCAGTCCGGTGTTTGTCCAACATTGAATTTATGCTTGTTTTTCAGCTGCAAGACCACCATAGAAGCTATACATGGATTGATGTCTCAGGTTATTAAGGATAAACTTTTTAATCAAATTAATATAGCTTGAAGTGCATCACCAGCTGATATGCATCTCCAAAGCAGAAAAATCATGGTTTCTTTTGCTTGGATTTGTTCAATTTGGGAAGCAAAGCTGGAGTGGAAAATTATTCATTTAATTTGTAGTACTTTAATATTTCCCACCTGTCTGACCAGTTTTAAAGAACAAAATGTTCTGAAATGTAGTGCAACTTTTTGTTCTTTATCATAAAACACAACTAGTTTGGAGAATTGTTCCAAAAGAAAAATAAATGTGACTTACTAGATTTTGCTCTTAGGTATTTATCTCTATTATCCAACTGCAATAAAACAATTTTGAAAATGAGTGAGTGTTATGGGACTTGAATTTTTTGGCAAACATTCATCTCTTCTTACTCTTTTTCTCATTGTTCCATAGAAAAGTTCTGTCCACTCAGATTAAATAGGTAACCTATGCAGTATAAGAAGTTTGTTTGTCAGATTTTCATTTCTAGGTTTAATTTTAAGAATTGAAATTCCATTTGCTTTTCTTAACAAGTTATTAAATCTAATGGAGCCTTTCCTGATTTAGTTTTACTGGTCCAGCCAGAAGTGGTTCCTTCTCACAGTGATGAAACATTCATAGAATCATGGAATGGCATAGGCTGGAAGGGACCTTAGAGATCATCTAATCCAACCTCCCTGTCATGGGCAGGGACGCCTCTCAACTATATCAGGCTACTCAAGGCTCTGTCCAACTTGGCCTTGAACACCTCCAGGGAGGGAGCATGTTGCATCATTCATGATACAACAGTATTTTGCTTGTAGCTTCACACTTACGATGGACGGTTTATGTTTGTAAGTAGTCAAGTTAACAACCAGTTCCATGGTTATGTACCATTATTTTTCTTCTGCTCACCTTCTATTGCTAGTCATAGTCCCTTGTGGCATGCAGAGGAACAAAATGAAAAATTATTATCTCTGAAATACACATTAGGCTTATTTAGGACCACAGATACTAAAATGCATTAATCATAATTGCTGGCTTACAACATGGTGCTGCTGCAGGGCTGATCTAAGTTTGTTTTGGAGGCTTTTGTACTGCATTTCAATAATTCAAGATGTTTGGATTTCTTTTAAATTTTTATCCTTAATCCTGAGTTTCCTGGGGTTTTTGGAATGTTTACTTTTGGGATAATTTATGCTTTATACAGTATGCCATTACGCTTTATACCTTAAGTAACTGATACTCCCTTTCAACCTTAACTTTGCCTTGATGTGGGTTTTGTTTTTGTTTTGGTCTGGAAATTTTAATAGCTATTACTCATTTGAGGCTTTTCATCGAAATGGATTCCAGTGTATTTGAAGCTAAGATGCAAGTTATACAATGGAAAGTTATCATTCAGCAGGGAAATGCAGATACCCTGAAGCAGAAATTCATCAAGAGTTTTAAAGCAGCAGCATCCAACAGTATAGGAAAAATACATGTAATTGGAGTTAGTAAAGTTGAGATAATTACCAGATGTGCAGTTCGATAGGAGAACAGCTTTATGCTTCTTCCAGCGTGGCAGTGGTGGTGGGGAGGCAGGAGAAGAAAGCTGTGGTATTTTATTATTCAAAGCTATTAATTTTCTTGGAAATGGCAGCAGTAGACTTCTGTACAAGCAAGCACAGTACGTAAGCCCACAGCAGTGCCTTTTAAGTTCAAGGAAGACATAGCAAGCGTCCCTGGCCAGTAACTTTTTCTACTTATTTTCTTCCACGGGTGTTTGCGAGACTTTAAATTTTGCCACACAGCCCTTGTCCCACTCAACGTGTGTTTACACAAAGAAGTACGCTGCTGTTGTGAGATAAACACCTATTAGGAAATATAACCTATGTTGCCACTTGATAGAATTCTCTTTGCATAACACGATCCAAAAGTTTTGGATATCTTCTGTCTACTTGAAATACCCAATGCCCTTGTCCTTGAGCAACCATTTTTAATGCTAGCTTTACTCCAAATTCTGCCTTAACTGAGATCAGAATTCCACATGTTAAGGATGATTACCACAAAGGAGGCATGCAATATGTACACATACGCACAAAAGCGTATCCTAAACGATGCAGAATTGTTAAGGGGTAGAAAGTATGCCTTCATTCTATTTAAGACTTTAAAAATATTAGGAATTAAGGTATTCTTGAGAGCAATACATATTGTATATCAACAAATAGGGAATTCATTCTTCCACGTTTGCACTCACTTTTTATTTAGAAATCAGTTTATGCAAACAAGTGCCACATATCGGGTAATTATTTTGACAGCTAAAGTAATTCAGTACATACTAAAGCACATGCAAGTAGATTCTCTTTATTTAGATTTTTGAGACAAGCGTGCATACAAAAATTGGGTGCCTTTGACATTTTACTAAATAAAAATAAAATTCGATAACCACAATTAATTTCTTCATCTAACAGTATTTGTCAACAGATATTAAAATTATGGAATGCTGAAAATGCTGAATTGTGTTTGAACTTCTTCCCTCTCTTGTTGCTCTGGTTTTTAAAGTTGTACTCTATGCTCACCTTTCTCTTGTATGCCAGTTGCATTTTTAAACAATTTATCCATTCTAATCTCGACAAAATCCAAAGAAAATATGCATGTTTGTAAAAATCAAATACTAAGGTGTAATTCCTGATTGAGTACCAGTTTGCCTTTATTGTGCACAGGCTTTAAGAAGAGCCTTTCAGATTTATTCTGTGATTACTGGGACGGTCAAAAATGCATTGTTGTTGTATCAGACTTCCTTCTCCTTGAAGTTCTTTTCAAATATTTGGTAAGAACCGGAATGGCAGCTCCTATAAATTAATTTTCTTGCCTAAAGATTGAATGGTTATGCTTCTGTTGCCACATGGTCCGAGAAAAAAAGACATTTTTCTTGCCTTTTTAAAATTTACTGAATGGAGTAATGCAGCTGTGAGAGACTGGCTTCCATTTGTGTTCACCTGTCGTGCTATCTTCCAGTCTACCTAAAATGCAAATAGGCAAGAGAAGGTGAGGGGTTATGGGAAGGGCTCTGCTGTTTGGCCATCTCTAACAACAGCCATAGGAGTGCTGCTGGGGAAGAGCACGTGAACCTGGCCACCTTTTTTCCTATTTTGAATGGATCTTGTAGCTTTATGGCGTATTTCTAGTTCTAATAGCGTGGCATTTGCTGATTAACAGTTTTGTTTGCCTTACCCTCTGCCTTTATGATTTATTAGCTTTTATCATATCGTTACCTCAGCCTTGTCTCCAAATTGAGAAGTTTCAGCTTTTTCATGCAGCTGTTGTAAAGCTGCCATTTTACCCACTTGATCATTTTAGTTGCCCTCCATACCATGTCTCCTCCTGCTTTGTCCTTGACAGAGGTCAAGATGCGGGTGCACCAAAGTTTGACAGAGAGGCAAAACAGCTCTCCCTTGTTCTCAGTTCCCTTCCTGGTGACACCCTGTGTTTCGTTGACTTACTTGGTTGCTGCTGCACATCAAGCTGATGATTTTGAAATCTTAAAAACTGCTTAAGTTTGAATTGGTAGGTACAACTCTGGAAAGCATTGTGTTGGCATGGTTCAGGTTTTCCCGAGATGCATTTATCTACATCGAAGGTCCTCTGCCACATTTTTGCTCACTCAGTTTTGTGAGATCCTTTGGGAGTTCCTCACCATTGGCGCCGTGTTTGACTACCCAGGAGAGTCAAGTGGCCAGCTGAAAACGTCGAGATACTTCGTTATCTTTAACTCTTTGGGGTTTCATCTGATCGACATGCTCATTTCATGAAGGAGTTTGCCCCAATGATAATGACTGTGTTTCACAATGTATCACCATACTTTCGGACAGTAAAGTCAAATGCAAAATACTGTGGTGTCTATAACAAAATTCAGGCTGGGATTGTCTTCATAATTCATTACGCTGTAGCCATTTTTTCGTATTCTGAATATCCAGAATACTGCACAGAGAATAGTAACTCAACTGTAGGACAAACTTTTGAAAAAATGTACATTAGAGGGCAAACATTGAATTTCATGGCTGTAGGGCAGAATGTTTTTCTCTCTAAAAGCTGCTCACTGGAGGAGATGGTTTCAGGCCTAGTGCATCAGTGATGAGATGCAGATGTAGGATTATGCACAGTTATTCATTTATCTTGCATATGCCTGCACTCTATCTGACTGCCATATATATATTTATATATACATAAAGATTTTAATTTTTCTTACATATATTAAAAAAACCCTGAAAATAAGCACTTCAGAAACTTGCAAAAGTGTATTCCTGGATCATTTTAAAAATTACTAACGGCAATAGAAACATTTCAAATTTATATATGTGGTATATCTGAGGTATCTGGTCATATAAAGCAGGAATACTATATTTCTCAGATTTTATACGTAGCCAGAAAACTTAAGGTAGTGAAATTTTGCTCTGCAGTCCCACATAAACAACTAGAGTACCTACTCAGTAGATATACTCTTAACTAATCTGTAAAAGACCTTCAACTCTGGTTGCATTTGCTTTAGCAATGTTTGTGGACAGTGTTTAACAGAACGATAAAAAGCTAAATTAGGTGATCAGGCTATTAGGGCCAATTTTTTTCCTAAATAATTCTGCATCCAGGAGCCCTATTTGTACCACTAAGCGCCCAGGTTTTTAAAAACTCAGCATTTATTCAGAGGGAAAATGGGAGATACTAGATATTAAGTGCTTCCCTAGGTCTTTTACATTAGATGTCTACTGGAGACTCAGCCTTTCTGAAGGATTAGCCCTAATTGGGAGTTCTAAGAAGCAATTTCGATACGCTGAAGAAAGCCAGATTTTAGAAAATATTTTACTCCCAAAAACTGGCTCTGCCACTGTTAGCCACTAGTATCTGGATTTTGTTACAAACTCTGTAAATCTCTACCCTTACAAGCAATCTTTGTATGAACGACCTCACTGAAGTCAAGAAATATTTTTGCTTTAGAAAAAGCTAATAAAAAGGCTAACAATCTTTTGCTTTTGAGCAGCGTCCCTTACCTCACATTCACGCCAGGTCAGAAGAAATATTCCTTGAGCTTTTCATAAATTATCTTTGATTCTAATACTGGAATAACAGGCAGCTGTGAGCTGGCTACAACAGCTCTGTTCACTGTCTATCTTTGATATTCCCTGGAAAACTCCCCTTACCCACAATGTCTCTGTTCAGACCCTGTGTTACAAGGGACTCTCTTGTTTTCCTTGCCTTCCGTGGCAGTTGGTGCACACGAGCTCAGATTAACTAGAACGAGCTCTTTTAAACTTGCTATTTAGTAAATGAAGCTTAATTTTCTTCCATTTCTATCACCTGTGCCTTCAACTGCATCTGGTTT